GTAAAACAAACTTGTCTATTAGTGATTATGATTAACGATTCGAATGATATTTAAAAAAGTGCACAGGTCTCTTAAATGTAGGTATATTCGTGATAGTACAATGTGTCAATGTTACATGTTGTGTTCTGTGCGAGTGTGCAAATTTAAATATGGTTTATGAAACATACCCATTAGGACAACTATAAAGTAAATAATGTTGAATCCAGTAAACACCACCACGAAATAAAATCAGACAGTGAAATTGAACGAATATTTTATATATTATTGTGATTAGAACCATACTTTGCGGTCGTTTCATGTTTTGAGATAGTTTATAAGCAAGCAGTGTTTTCAGAGTATCTGTTAATTTGCAAAACTCGAGAATATGTTTTTCACCTCTATCATATTCCATTTTATGTTAAATTGGTTCTATTATTTATTCGAAATCAACGAGTTGGCTTTCCCTACTCTATAATGACCTGGAGAACCCTGATAAGTAACGAGTCATGTTATTTTATTATATGAACTATAATGATATGTATTTATGTGCATTCAGAGCCTCTGAATTTGCTGTCCACGTGGTAACTATGATAGAAGACCCATCGTATGATGGCAGCGCTTATCTAGTATCCGCTGGAATGCCCTTGACAATAGTTGACCACCAACCTACGCGCCTAGATGAACACAACATTATTCTTAGGATTATCACAAGTACGATGCGAAAGACGCATTACGAAATACAGCAACCCATTTATTGTTTGAGCTAGCAACTAGCCAATATACATTTAACTACGTGAAACTGTCAGAAAATAAAATTACGTTTATGTTATATTAACTATGTAGATCTGTATTTTTTCATTGTGTGTAATTGTACATATATTCACGTGATGTAATGATGTGTTTAAGGTTATTTCAATACAACACACTAACAACATAATGTAAATATCTTTTAAAATATTGCGTCAATCATCGCGGTTTAGTGTTCAAGGAATATGACATATTACTCCGCTTCTCCGTCAACTTATGTAGCCCATAACAGTAAGTAACAATCGTGGTGTAACAAATAGTCGCCCAACTACACTTCAGATATCTACAATTCCTCACTCTCGCCTATCCAATCGTTTCCCCTTTCACCATTGTAATAATATTCCAGACGTACGATAACCGTATAATGACCGCATGGCTATTTCCCCTGAATACCTCACATGATTCTCTTTATTACGCGTCACCACTGCTCACTTATGGTTGTTTGACAGATTAATAAAATCCCACATTGTAACAGTTTTAAAAGTTACATGTGCAAAGCATAACAATTTTATAACATTTCTGAAATAAAATAGCCGCATATTCGAATGAATTTTAAAATATTCATACAGCAGTGTGGTACGGTAAGATGACCGGCTAAAGTTAAGCTAAATCGGGCGTGGTTAGTATTTGTATAGGATACTGTCTGAGTAAACCAGCTGGTGTATCTTTTTCGTTCGTGCATTCTTACTGTGATATCAATCACTTATAGTAGAAAGTCGCGGAGATTTATGCATTTTTAAAATTCATGGAAAGTTTTAAAATTCCTTCTAGTTTTCAAAAAACATATTTTTACATGCTGTCGGCACATCGTGGCTTTTGCCTATTAACACACGGTTCGAAGTTGTGCAAAGTGATTGCAAAGTTGGTAGATGTATTTGTATATTTGACCTAAGTTGTTTGCATAAAGAATCCCGCAGTTGAAAAATCGAAAAAATGAATAAAAGCCAGATGAAAGCAGTCTATATTAGCACATGGTCACATGAGCTGTCTGTAAAATGTTGATGAAATAGTGTACAAAGTTGGAAAAAACGACTGCAAAATTGTAGATTTGTTTGAAAAAATAACCCATGTGGTTGACTTTTCGAGGCCCATAGTGGAAAGGCCGAAATAGCGACGAAAGGTATGGTAAACGACCCTCAAAAAAACGAAATAGCTACCTAAGCATGTAGATGTCAAAGATCAATTCCGAAACAAACAATCAATATCGAAATTGGATAATTTCCAAACATAAAAAGCATTTAATTAGATTCTGATAGGTCACATTATAATATATATACTATAATCTCATGACCGTATATAAAATTGAATGCAATGGTATTTCCCACTGTGAACATACATCACAACTCTTCAATTTGGCTGCAAAAATATAAAATTTTATTAGGTTTGGCTACATTAACATGCTTGATGGCGAACAAATCAACCACAACCAATCATATCTACCGTCTTGTATCAACCATGGCATATACGCTGCCTTATTTATGCAAATTACTTAAATAAATCACTGCCACTGATACGAAGGCCATACTCCATACTCCATACAACTAGAGATGGAAAGCATAGTACACAAATGACTTACTGCAACACTTCGAGTAAATCCAACGATGCCATATTTTGTTGCAGAATAAATAGGTATGGAAGCCCAGCTAAATCTACGAAACACGTGAAATATGTGAAAACACGTGAATGTTGGGTGGGATGAATACCACCAGTTCGTTGCATAATGCCCTCAACGATGGAATTCAACAATTATATATATTTCTTGATGAGCACCAGCATCATAAGTACGATATGACTACCCGAATGTTGGTCGCTCAAATGTGATATAGGCATAGACTATTTTGATTGTTATCAACACTCGGAAGTCAGTGCGTGGTGGCAACGCAGATCCCACATATCTTGTATCTAGAAAAAAGGAAACGAAGCGTAAAGACTTGCTGAACTAGGCGTGTGTGATAATACTGTATAGTGTAGCTAATGAAGGTGATGTACCCGCACGTTGTCCGGAGATGGAATGAAAACTGTGTAGCATATACAGAAAGACTTAGCAGTCACGAGAAGGAAATCGCCGACAATTATTGTTATAACTGGCATATAAGACGCATGATTTAACGCTACACGAGTCGTGTGGGCTGTGAGTGAGAAAACATTTTATTGAAGAAGAGATGAAACAATGATTGAATTCACACAGCATGGGGCATATATCTGCTCAGAATACAGGGTACAAATACTGATCTATGTTAACGGAAACAATTCCCAGGACGACGAAATGCTAAGTAGGTAAGTATGATGTTGTTTAACCGATACACGACTGGTATCTATGGCGACAATATGATATAACGTACGTCAAAATATCGAGGCATATTGACCAGAAGAAAAGCGTAAGAGTCAGAGAGTATGCGACGTGTGCGTAATTCATTTCTCCACGAGAGTATATTAATCGTTGTATAAAGACAACAAAATGTAGATATGATCCTAACAATCACATTCAGGTCACATTGTAAGAATGAAAGTGTTGTACTTGACTACCATACAGTGAAGATTACAGGTAATGTTTTGTATAACTGACTAACTTCGATTCATTGTCTGCGATGACAGTGGGTGAAATAAACATCCCAACTTGCAGTTCAAGGTAATTGAACCAGGATTTATGTTTATTTTACAGAGTGGAACGTATACAGTGCCATATTTGTGAATTGCTGATTAAATAGAGTTACTATTACGGGCAGATTTCCCTTGAATAAAATATACAAACTTTACCTTCTCCAGTTGAATTGTTTATAACCACGTCTCCATTACCACCATTCTTCATCCCATGTGTTCTTCAGCAAGGTACTTTCCTCTAATCACAGCTGCCTAATTTAGAGATAATTGTTTTATTAAACCGTGGCACCTCAATCCCTTGGATTGCCCTATGGAATCATGGAATACTATTGCTTGAACAACATATATGTCCATTGTTTTACAAAGTTCCGAAATTTCAGCAGGATAAAGACAAAAATGTCTGAATATAACAAAAATTTGCACGGGGTGCAAGTGCCCACGAACCGCAATATACCTTAAACATGTATGCCACTTCTTTTCAATAAACACCTTACACCGGAATAACGATTTGTTATGTTGTCTCACTGCGTTGGCCATTCATGTTCATGGTCTATATTTCTACTAGTACAATTTTATCTAGATTAATATGTAAAATATCAACAATTGCAATTGGTCAGCATGGCATAAAGGCCACTCGTTCTACACATTGTATGAACTATCATACTTACTAGATTTATTGCTATGCTCTCCTCTAGTTTAAATTCATTACGGTGTACGACGATGGAATGTTAGAGTGTCACCAACTCTAATCGCATGAGGGTTTCTCTGTCAACGTTCGAAGAATATAGGTAAATCTAGGGGTAATTCTCATAAATACAATATTCAATGTGAAGCATTGCTCAAAAGTAATCTGACATGTGACCGAGCAACTTGTGCTGTTTGTTGTACGTCCCTCTGCTACCTCTGCAACCCAGCGAACTGTCAAATTTTATTTTGGCCCAGATGCTCGAAATTGAAAGGGTTTTCAGCTAAGTTTTGTGACTATTTTAATATGATTCTTTAATAATGATATATAGATTGGATTTCCAAGAAACCGACACCGATGTAGAGATTAAAGCGGAAGGCATATACAACTATAATGCTTGTTTTATATTTACATAATTGGCTTGACAGCCGCTTAATGGTATGATGATTTAGTTAACTGAGAAAAACGATTAATTACAATTGTTCCAGTCTTTCATATAAATATCAGGCAATGTTTTCACCGCAAAAACTACCATGTACGTATGTGTTAGTAGTTAGATATTTCACTAATCACATATAGAATAACCAGGCCAATCGTGATATAGAACTGTGTATATAGAAAGTCATGTGATCACAAGTGGTTTACTTAGACTCTGCCCGACCTCAAATGGCGACGTCCTGCATTCACATTGACCTTTAATTGAACTTGGAAGGCTGTTGAATCAAGTACGTTCTGAGGCTGTTCGATAGTGAAACTGCGGGGCTCGATGATATAAAAAAGCGGCGTGGTTTGACATACACGTATCTAGAGCTATCGTTCTAACCAAGCGTGAACGTCATCGGACGCCGTTCTACTTTGCTGCTTACCTATCTTTGACCTCCGGGGATTTTAGAATTGTACAGACTGCAATTCAAATAAATATCGAGCAATGGACGTAGCAGACAAAGTAGCAATTGTGACTGGTGCTGCGAATGGCATTGGACGAGCCATTGTGGAACAGTTACTACTGAAAAATGCTAGAGTGAGTACATGATCCATTTGAAATCTGGGAGTGGGGCTGGAGCAATTGGGATTTGTTTCCAAACTACTGTGGTAGGTTTTTTTATTTGCCTGTAAGCATATCTGAGTACTATTTTTCTCAATAATTTTTTTTTTGAACTGCTGTCCATAGATTTGTTTTTACCTTGATTGTTTTCCAAAATCTTCCAGCCCCTCCCCCGATTTCAAATAGCTTTTCACATATCTTGTACATAGAAATACATAGTTGAATCACACACACTATATAATTATATCGACAACTAAGCTTGTGAGAAAATAAAGATGAAGTTGACCTTGAAAAGGACGAATATGTGTACATAATGAGTTAATAGTCTAGAAAGGCGTTTCTTAATTTACTCATGAATAAAACAAAGTGACATTATTAATTACGATTGTCATGTCTACGTTCGAGCACGTCATTGAATAGATTCAAAATAAATTATGTTTATTCTAGTTATGGAAATTTCAATCAAATATAATATAATATGTAACGGTTAATTTAGTGTGTCAAAGTGATTTGCCGTGTTCTACCATGTCGTCAGTTCAAATCTCGCGTGCTGCGTAATATTCGTACATATATATATATAACGACCTCAAAATTCTAATTTGTTTGTAGCCAGTCTAGTATCCTTGGTGAAAAAGAGGTTTAACATTAAAGTATATGCCCTTATGGTAGATATTTTAGGATTGCCAGTCAGCGTAGATTTCATATAATCATTATTGACAAAACAAACATATTCTGCATTATTGTGCCGTCTTGATATGAAATAATTACTCACAATTACTTACCCAAATTAGCATGTTCACTATTGTCACTATTTGTTGTTCTCTTCATATGTCAATGTAATGTTTTGTACAGACTGTGGTAATTCTAGATGTCAATGAAGAGGGAGGAAAAAAGACATTGGAAGAGCTGAGAGAGAAATATGGTGAGGATAGGGTTGACTTTATAAAATGTGATGTCAGCAATGCTACACAGCTTGAAGGTAAGAACACTCAATATCGTAGAACTACGCATGTACAGAAGTCTTTGTTTCATAATTTTGCCTAACGGAGTTCTGCTGCCAAGAATTCGCGTACTACTATCAATATACTGAAATGAATAATTGTTGATTTAGGGTAAGTATAGTGGGTTAGGGTGTAATGAGATGGATATTGGAAAATAGTGGAGAAATAATGGAACAGTATTCTGTTTAACTCTCGTTAATCAAAATAACGACCCTTTTCAAGACATATTTATATGTGGTGTATAGTAAGATCAATGTGACTATGCTATCAAGAAGTTTTGTTTATTTATTTATTTATTTATTTATTTATTTATTTCACCAGAATGACCATATTTCCAGAAAAAAATACAATTGTTATAATTCTAGTGTTGGAATAATAAAATTGACATTTTGATGAAAACAAATAAAAAACATATTTATCTTTTCCTTCCCTCCTACATATCACAGGCTCGTTATCAACAGTTATTTGATGTTTACGTTGTAGATTTACAACTCTCCACTCGAAGATGCAAGCAATAAACATATATATGTATCAATCAAAACAATTTTACGCCGTTAACCATATTCATTTTTTTATATGGTGATTAAGTTCTCTGTATTAATACAGCTGCCTTTGTTACAACCAAGACGCGTTATGAACGCCTGGACATCGTGTGTAATAATGCTGGCATTGACAATGAGTTCGAATTGGAGAAGAGTGTGGCAATTAACCTCGTAAGTACAGCAAAAACAATGTCAGTCTTATGTTCCCAATAATTCAATGTTGTATGTTATCTTGTTACCACTTGGACTCTATATTGTCAGCTATAGTTCAAAATGTGTTTTTTTTATATCTATTTTTATTTTTAGATTTGCTTGGTTGATTGTTCTCACCAAAAACGAAATGTAACATTTTCTTTACGGTTCCAATAAAGCTCTATTCTATTCTATTCTATTCTATTCTATTCTATTCAGACATAAACGTAATGGGGAAATTTTGCTCACCATTTA